AATTATAAAATATGATCTAAAAAGTTTCATGAAAATCGATCTTAGGAAAGTCAAATTATCAGTACCCCTAAGGGTATTTTAGTGATTTTACACCTTTCGAGATATGATCAAGGTTTTTAATATTTCAAAATTATTAAATAATATAAAATCCTTATTTAAAGTTTTTTGCAAAATTCTAACCTCGAGTAAGTCAATTTACAAAAATACCCCTAAAGGGTATTTTGTAATTTCACACCTTATAAGGTATGATATGTGTTTTCAATACATAAAAAATCATTAAAAAAAAATTCAATTATGATCTAGAAGATTTCACTAAAATTCAACTTCGCAAAGATTAAACTGCGAAAATAATCTTAAGGCAGCTTACTAATTTTACATTTTTCAAAGTGCGAAAACTCTTTAATAAAAATAATAAATTTCAATTTAAAATCACATTGATTACAATTTGTTGTGAATTTTGAAAATTGACTCGAGTTCTAACTATTTTGACCAACTTTGATAAAATTTGATTTTGTTTGATCAAGTTTGACTAATTTTGAACAGATTTGATCTTGGGACATTTAGGTAAAATTAATTCAAATTTTAATTTTTAAAACTTTTCAAAATTAAAGAAGTGTTGGATTTGAAGGGTTTCACAAATGATTGAAAATTGTCTGAATAAAATTAGGTGTCTATAATATATAAAATAAAATTAATTAATAAAAAATATATTTTTATATATCCTTCAAAATTGGTTAGAACAGAACAACCTAAAGAGACTTCCACCTTGATCTCTTTTTCCTTTTAAAAAAAGTGACATGTTTCAATTTGATCTCAATCTAAAAAATTCAAGCTTTTATTTAATCAAGGTAAATCAAACTTGTCAAATACAAATGGTTATGACATCACTATCAATAGACACAATTTATCATAAAATTGATTAATAAAATTTTTTTTAAAATGACACAAAAATTCATTAAATTAAGGTATTAAATAATAATTTATTGATATATAAATGAAAATATAAAATAAAACGAATAATAAAAAATATATTTATATATTAAAGAGGGACAAAATACCCTAAAGTTGTTTTTGACTTGACTCAAATTTTTGGAAAAGAAAAACTCGATTCAATCTCAATTTTTTTTTTTAAATACATCTATCAAATCTAAATCAATCGAAACTCATCAATCTAGATGTTGTATCATATACACCCACATTGACATTTTTCTTTAAAAATTGATTTACCAATTTCTTTTGTTGAAAAATATTTATAATTAAAAAAAATTAAAAACAAAAAAGTTGAAAGGAAAAAAATCGATATTAAGTGCCATGTATACATATTTATTGTTTTTTTATAAAAAAAATGAACTTAAAAAAGGAAAGAAAAATCTTAAAAATGAGAAAAAAGATGAAAAAAAAAATTGAATTCGCATGCAATATCAAGAATGATGAGCTTTTACCGAAAATTTTATATTATGAATTAAAAAAATGAAACTAAAAAAATTCAACAAGAAAAAAATTAAATTTGAATGTGAAACTAATGCATCCACTAATATATTTTTCTTTAAAAAAGATCAAATTAAAAATAAAAAATAAACATATATTTTTAATAATAATATCAAGTGGCCCATATTAAAAAAATCAAAATATAAAAAACTATCAAATATTTAAAAAGTTAATAAAAAATTAAAATTTTAAAAAAATCAAATAGCATGACACGTTGTATATTATTAATATAAAGTGGGTCTCAAAAAAATTTTAATAAAAATATTTATCAATTATATAAAAAATTTTAAAAAATTGAAAAAAAAAAACTTATTGTGTACTTTTAATAACAAGTGAGTTTCAAAATAAAATTAAAATTAAAAATAAAAGCTTTTTCAAAAATTAGAAAAGGAAGAATTAGAACAAAGTAAAAACAAAAAGCAAAATGGTGTGAGTGCTAAAAAATTTTTTTTAAATATATTTTTAAAAAATATTAAATATAATAAAAAAGAAATAAATAAAAAAAGTTTAAAAAAAATCAAAAGATCAATTTTAAAAAATGGGCTCCACATCTTTTTAAAAAATTTAAAAAATGTAAGCAACGCCAATTAAAAAACAAAAAAAAAAAAAACCCGATAGAAAAAGAAATTGAACCCCTCACTTTAAAAAAATTAAAAAAAAAAATGAGCCTACATCTTTCAAAAATTTTAGAAAAAGACTACTCTACCAATTTAAAAATACAAAAAGAAGTCCGATCGAAAAAAAACATTTGGATCCCAAGCCTTTAAAAACAAAAAAAAAAAAAAAAAGAAAGGGATTCCACGTCCCTTTAAAAGATTTTGAGAAAAATAGTTGGGAACTACCATAAAAAATTTTAAAAAAAATAAATCAAGAAGATGCCACGTGACAGTGCGCATAATCAACACATAGTGGCCTTTGCTACAAATTTATAACATTTATATAAAGGATAGTATTTAAATAAGCCCTTGAATTTTATTCAAAAAATAAAAATAAATTTTTAATTATTATTATTATGTGAAATTAAAACTATAAATTTTTATTTTAATAAAATTAAAATCTTGATATTCTAAAATATTTAATTTTTATTTAAAATATCTTAGTTGGATGATGTAATTTAAAAAGTACTTAAGTAAATAATAAAAAACAACAATAAAATAATATCTAATTCAATTTATAAATTTAAAAGTGATTATATTATAGGCGTGATATCAACAAATAATATCATATTATTATAATGTTTTAGTGAAATATGCTTTTTTTATATTGTAAGATTTGAATTTACTAAAAAATTAATATGCAATGTAAAAAATGCTTTCGTATTTATATAATATAAATCAATAACTATACGTTAAAACAATCTTCATTAAAATTATTAAAATACTTTTCTATTTATTTTGATAAAGAATTGCCACATGTTCAAATTTTTTATAATAGTTTTTTATTATAATTATTAAAATATCTTTTTTATCATAATTAGGTAAAATTATTGTAATACTTTTCTATCATAATTAGAAAAATGTCCCTCTCATTATAATTAATCAAAATTATTATAATGCCTTTCTTACCAAAATTACTATAATATCTTCTCTCATAATTATAAAAATACTTTTATGAGTGCTTAGAAAGTTATATATGACATTTTCTTTCAAAATTAGTATAATAACCCTATTAAATTATGCATTAAATTTTAACATATTATAAAATTAGTCGCATATTAAATTATTAAAATACTATTATCATTACTTTATAAAAATTTGACATGTAATATTTTATTTGATATAATATAAAGTTAACATATCAAATTATTTTAAGACCATTATTAAATTTTATATTAAATTTTAATATAATATAAAATTAACTATATATTAGATTATTAAAATATCTTTTCATTGTTCATAGAAATTTGACATATAATTTTTTATTTAAAATTCATTATAATATCTCTATTCAATTACATGTTAAATTATAATATAATATAAAATTAACTACGTATTAAATTATTAAAATGTCCTTACACTCACTTCATAAAAATTTAATATGTGATATTTTATGAAAATTATTATAATACCTTTATTAGATTCATATTAAATTAATTATAAAAAACTTAATTACAAATTAAATTACTATAATAAAATAAAATTTTAAAAAATATAATTTGATAAATAATAAATATATAAATACATAACAAAAAATTAAATTATTTTTAATTTATTTTAAATAATTTTAACAAAAAATTTTATAAATTACAATAAATTAAAAATCGTATATTTAATTAAATGATTGATAAAAATATAATCCTCAAAATATAATAAAAAATTAAAAAATTATAATAGTAATATATAAATTATTAAATATATATTATTTTTAATGTTTATTATTTTATATTAAAAAGTAATAAATAATTATAAATAATAATAATTAAAAATTTTAACCAAAAAAAATTGTTGTCTATATAAATATGAGCCACTTAAATTATTGTCTATGTAACGACCGGCTGCCACGGTACAGATCTAGTTTCATTGACATTGACATTGACATTGCAGCCGCAAATTTCCTAAGTTGTCGTGTGCAGGTTTCAGCCATAGGAGCCACCAACACAACAAAGCATACCACTCCCATTTACGTCTTCCTCCGCATTTCTCTCTCTCTCTTTTTTTCAGGGATAAACCCATTTTTCTCTCTTATTAGTTATTATCACTCTTTACCTTAGCAGCTATGACGTTCGACAAGTTACTCCTACTAAATTAAGAGCTCATTTGATTTATTAATCTTTGCATCATATATATATAAAAGGAATAGGGAGAAAGTTTGAACCTCTTAATTTTGTAGAATGGTAAAATTAAACAATATTATTAAAAAATTCATATATATATTTATATATTTATATTTGATATGCTTAAAATCCGTATGTAACTCAAATTTATATTCGAAATTTCTATATACAAATCATGTACGTGCAAACATTTATTTATGTCAATAATTATATCAACCGACTCATATGTTTAGCTGACTCTTTTATATTTATTTCTACAAATACACTATTCGATCCCTTATTTATCGGGTCTTGAACTTTGCTTTTGAAGTTTAGGGTAAAACATATATGAGCTTTCTTAGAATAAATTTGTGAAATTTTTTATTAAAAATAATTTAATAAAAATTTTAATAAAAAAATTTAAATGATAGATTAATAAAATTTGATATAAAAATCGATAATATGTAAAATGATTATTAAAAATATTATTTATAATTTAAATATAATCAATATTTATTTAATAATAAAAATTTTATTAATATTTTTATTAAAATATTTATTTAAAAAAATATATAAATTTTTTTTTAAAATTTACATAATCTATGAAATAAAATTTTTTAATTTATCAATTTTTATTTTGATTTTGATTTTAATTTTTAATTTTAATTTTAATTTAATTATTTATAATAAAAAATTTCACAAATTTTACCTAAAAAGTTTTATTCAATCTTTGTCTTAAATTTATGTCAAGCACCTAACCTTGGACAACAAATGTCTGAAGTTTCATCTCCTGCATTTTCCTTTATATATAGACACTAATGGACTAAAGACATTTGTCTCTTGAAGAAATTAACCATGGCAAAGAGTGATGTCAAAGTGAAAGTTTTGGGTACATGGTCGAGCCCATTTGTGATGAGGGCAAGGATTGCCCTTAACATCAAGTCTGTCAACTATGAATTTCTTCAGGAGAGGTTATGGGAAGGAAAAAGTGAGCTTCTTCTCAAATCAAACCCGGTTCACAGAAAAGTCCCAGTCCTCATTCATGGTGATAAGTCCATCTGTGAGTCTCTCATTATTGTCCAATACATTAATGAGGTTTGGTCCTTTGCTCCCTCCATTCTTCCTTCTGATCCCCATGAACGTGCCACCTCTCGTTTTTGGGCTCCTTATCTTGACGAAAAGGTATATACATTTGTGATTTGTTCAAAATCAGATTTGACAAGTTAACCTTTTTTTGTGTTTTTAGGGAGTCAAGTGCTTTTTTTTTTTTTGGGTTAATTCTTTCTTGTGCAGTGGTTCCCTTCCCTAAGAACTATTGGTGTTGCTCAAGGAGAGGATGCAAGGAAGGCAGCAATAGCGCAAGTGGAGGAAGGGCTGCTGCTATTAGAGGAGGCATTTGGCAAGTGCAGCAAAGGGAAACCTTTCTTTGGTGGGGATCAAATTGGATACCTTGACATTGCATTTGGGTGCTTTTTGGGCTGGCTAAGAGTGACAGAGAAGATGAGCGGGATGAAGCTGCTTAGTATATCCAAGACTCCTTCTTTGCTTAAGTGGGCTGACAGATTCTGCTCTGATATCGCTGTTAAAGATGTTATGCCTGAGACTGAAAAGCTTGCAGAGTTTGCTAAGATGATCATGGCCAAAATGAGAGGAGCGGCTCCTCCCAAATGATTAATTGCCCGACTAGAATGTGGCAAGCAAGGAGCCATATATATTGGCCCTTCAGCATATTTTTAATCTAATGTGTCCTTTTCTGTATAATAATCTGAAAAGAAAATGCCAAAGCGTTTATGCTTTAAAGAGCAATTACATATGCAGCAATAAAAAAAAATTGAATCAATCTTTATTTATATTATGTTTTACCATGCAATCAAAGTTTATATTTCAGCTATTACTCTCTAGACAATCTTTTCTAAGAAAAAAAAAAAAAGAAAAGATGTCTACACGGATCAGATTTGGTGATTTGGAATAGACAATCTAAGCATACATAGATTAGTATTATAAAAACATTAAGAATGTCAAATCTCTCGCAAGCACATACCTTCCTCGTTCTCATTTGTATAGGTCTTTGATGGTTGGGCCAAAAAGTTTTTCACTGTGATCGGATAGCACCTTTATTTTATCAAAAAAAAATAATAAAAATCCTTTTATACACCCTTTCTGTGTCCTTTTTTAAAATTTTTTTTTTCAAACCTATTTAAATTTGATCATTATTGTAAATAAAATCACTATTTATTTTTAAATTTTCAAAAAAATATTTTTTAATATTTTAATTAAGAGTATATTTTCAATTCATTGATTGACTGTTTTTTGGAAAGATAAATATATCGGACATGTCCAGGAAAATGCAAAACCAGAAGAACCCAAAATTGCAGCCACATATTTCCAAAGTTGTTCGTGTACAAGTTTCATCCGTAGGAGCCACCAACACAACCTAACCAACCCATTCCCATTTACATTTTACACCCCATTTTTCTCTCGTGTTCGTTATTATTACGTTTTACCTCACAAGCTATGACATAGCTAAACAAGTACCTCCTACTAAATTAAGGGCCCATTTAGATTTATCGCACCCTCACGGAATGCGACAATTTCTTTTTTTTGTTTTTTTTTTTGCTTTTAACCCTCACATATGAATAGTACCCGATGGTTCAGTTGGATGCTTTTAACTGTACTGCGCCTTTAATCGAAGACTGAAAGAGAAAGGTTATGTAGTTCATCGGATTTACAGTAGTCGATTATTTTATATAGACGATCTTGATGTAAAATTAAAATAAAAAATATTTTTAATTATAATAGCCTGTCGTTTTTAGTGGAACAATCCACTGTTATTCTAATTTTAACGTTACATTTATATTTATATTCAAATATTTATATTTATTATTGATTAATTTTAATTTTACAATTACATTAATTAATCTTACTATTATTTAACTGATTTTATTGATAAGAGTAAAACATTATTTATTAAAGTTGTTTTGAAATATTATTTCAAAATTTTCAGTTTAATATAAATATATTTATAAATATACATGAACTTGTATATTATAATTCTATTAATAATTTATAAAATAAATATACAATAACTTATAAAATCAAATAAATAAATTTAAATGTATACAAAATAATATCATAAAAATTTCAAAATATTTTAAACATTTAATATGATCATATAATATTTAAGTAAATAATTTTATTACAAATATTAAGATAAAAATAAATACATGTAAAAACTACTTTTGGTATGATGATTGTTAAACTTTAAAAAAGAAACACAATTATTTTTTTAAAAGAGATTGAAATACCTATGAATTTTGGTTTGAAAAAATAAGATACGAAAGAAAACAAGTTACAATAAGAAAAATAAGGAAAAACTCAACTTTTAAAGATTATTTTGTTAATTATTTTATTTTTATTAAGTTAAAAATAGTCAAACAATAAAAAAATAAATTAAAAATTATAAAATATATTTCACATTTACGTTCCAGTCAAAACAAGTCAATTCACTAAAATTTATCGAAATTAGCTGAAACCAACGAAAATAATTGATATTATCCAATACCAAATTCAATATAAAACTTTATTTTTAAATACATCGTACTTTGATATAATTGGAACATATGATTGATACTATCGATGCCAAAACAAAATAAACAACTATGCTATTTATACAACATGCTAAAGTTGGTAATTACATAAAAATTATAATATATAATTAATAATATCTTTTTAAATCAATGATTTGATTTGTTTAAATCTTTCCTATTATTTTATTTATTTTTTCAAATGAATTTAAGTTCATCATTATTTTAAAAAATCATTAATTCAATTTTGAGTTCAAAGTTTACAAAATATATTTTTTTAATATTTTAAGACAATATTTTAAAAAATAATGATAAAAATTGAGTTTGTTTGATAAAAAAATAAAACATAAACAAAGAACATAGGATATATTGTATTATTAAAAATGTGAAGTGACGCTTTCAAGGCGTCTTGACATTTTAGAATGCGTTTAGACTAAAACTTTTAAAATTTTGAAGATTTTTAAAATAAAAAATTTTAAAATATATCAATCCAAAGATCCAACATTTGTAATTGTATTATGTGGAGAAAAAATTTAATGGCATAAAAAATAATATTAAAAAATAAAAAATATTTGAAAAAAGAGAGCTAAAGGATAGATGGCCTTTGTCTTTATCATTATGTTCACAAAGAAGTGAAGTAATGTAGTAACCTATCATATTTGTTAAGATTTGGCTTGAATCTTTTAGGTGACATTTGGCTCAGAAAAATCCACAATTTTTTTTTTTGGAATCTTGATTATGGGTATTTAATTCTCATGTTTGATTTAGGATAATGCGATTATGAGAGAAAATGACAGATTTTCAACAGTTCCCAAAGTCTCAGAATCAGAAACCCACATCTTCCTATGATATTCTAGGATTTCGAAGGAAAAGTTACCTTATTTTCAAATTTGACCTAAATAAAAAATTATGAAATAGCTGTTATCTTTTTAAAAAGTATGTTTGGAAGTGACTAGAACTTAGTTGTAAGTTTTTGTGTAAAAAAAATTTTTTTTATATTGCAATTAAGGAGTTTGGCATGAAGAAATGTCTCAAATAATCATTTTCTGTTTTTATAAATGGATTATTTAACATGTTTCTGTATAGAAAATGCCTTAAATAATCTTTTTATATTTTAGGGTTTAATGTTAATATTTTTATAAAATGATTATTTAAGGCGTTTTTATATAAAAAAACGTCTTAAATAATATTTTTATATTTTTACAAATAGACAGAAATGTCTTAAATTATCTCTTCATTTTTTAAAGAGGACTATTTAAGGCATTTTTGAACAAAAAATTCCTTAAATAATCTCTTTCATTTTTTTAAAAGGGAAACATCTTAAATAATGTCTTTTAACAAATATATCAACATTATTTAAGATTTTTTAGACAAAAAAATCTTTAAATAATATCATAAATTTGTTAAAAGGCATTATTTAATGCATTTTTTTTGGTCTAAAATGCTTTAAATAATCTCATGATATTTTTAAAAAAAATTTATTTAAGGCATTTTTTATTTAAAAACATCTTAAATAATCCCCTCATTTTTTTAGAGGGGACTATTTAAGGCATTTTTAGACCAAAAATGCCTTAAATAATATCATAAAATTTTTTAAAGGGTTATTTAAGATATTTTTGTTTAAAAATGCCTTAAATAATACCTTTTAAAAAAAATTAAAAGACTATTTAAGGCATTTTTTAACCAAAAACGCTTTAAATAATGCCTTTGAAAAAATAAATGAGATTATTTAAGGTATTTTTTGTCCAGAAATGCTTTCAATAATCTCTTTTATTTTTTAAAAAATATTCAAAATTATTTAAAGCATTTTTTATTGAAAAATACTTTAAATAATCTCTTTTAAAATAATAAAGAGTATTATTTAAGGCATTCCTAACCAAAAAGGTCTTAAATAATCTCCAATATTTTTTTATTAATGATATTTTATAAATAAAAATAACATTCATAAAAATATTTGTTTTCTTTTGCTGTTGGAGGCATTATTTGTCGTTTAGGTATTTATTATTAATAAAAATTAATAAAAAGTTACTATTATATATGTCCAAGAGATTATGATAATTATTCAAGAATTAATATATGTGAATTCTCTCTAACCAAACAAGTGAATATAAATACAAGATGCTCTAAAAATAAAAGAAAACTCTAAGTATCACACTTTTTTGGAGATCGCACTTTCCCTTGAAATCTACGATTTTGTGAACCAAATAACCTTTTAATCTCACATGACATATTTAGTGGAGTTATAAATATTGAAAGTTTGTCTTAAATCTCACATAAGAAGTTTAGTAGAGTTATAAGAAGCTTTACCTTTATAAATAATATACTTTAATTTTAGCAATGTAATCTCAAATAATTAGACACCGAAAGAACAAGGTCAAATTATGTAATAGATATCTATATTTTACTTTCATGGTGGAATTAGTCCATCTATTTTAATGTATTCAAATTAGATCCTTATACTTCATTTAATTATCGAGTTTAGTCATATTATTAATGGTTCAAAATCTTTTCATTGAAATTGATGATGTGGCATTTTGATTTTTTTGACGTGACATTTTTACTTACTTGGCTGATGACTTTGATGATGTGTAAAGTCCATGTGATTAAAGATGATGATGTGACAAAATTTTTTGACACATCATTATTTTTTTATGCCAACTTTTCTCAAATTATATGACCCATTCTTGTATTTTGGTTAAATTGTGGAATTAGTTCTTCTATCTTAATATGCGCTCAAATTTGATATCTATACATTAATTAATTATCGAATTTAAGATTTGACATAAAATAAGTAAAATAAAATTAAAATAAAAGACAAAAAAAAACTTTAGGTTGAGTTGTAAATAGAGTCAATATATGGGTCAATATGCGAGTTACACAAAATCTGTCTTCTAAAACAATGTTGTTTTCAACTTGTTATAAAAAATTTTTATTTTTTTTAATTTATTTTTTTTTCCTCTCTCATCCTCGTTTTCCTCTTACTTTTTTTGCGAGTCTCATTCAATGAACTCATATTTCCATGAGCTTTATAGAAACTAGTAATTGAAAATTTCAATGATCATAAAAGAAATTTATCCAAAAATCCAA